CATGTATGTTAAGAAAAAAGAAAAAAAAAAAAAAAAAAAGAAAAGAGATATATTATAAAAATTATTTCCTATGGATATTAGTACGATAATGTGAAGATATAAATGAACATGTAATAAAAGTAATCTAATAGATTACGAGGTCTATAATGATAAATGATCCAACATAAGATAATTACGACGAATCAATCTCAGATTTTTATGGGATTAATCAAGTTCTCTCAGTGATTATACCCGATCATTTCTATAACAAACGAAACGGACCATCGATCGACCAGATGACCCAAAACCAGCCGGAATTACCTTGCCGCAGTCAACGTCCGTTATCAGAACGTAGCACATGCAATCAAATGTATAGACCACTTGGCCTTCTCTCTCTCTCTCTCTCTCTCTCTTTTTCTTTTTATTTCACGAAATAACACTATCTTCTCATTATTTTCTTTCTTCGAAATGAGCAAATTTTTATCGTGCTTTATTCGATCGACTTTCGATGAAACATTTTAATCAAATTATCATACGTTTTTTAAATGAAACATATCTCAGAAATAGAAAAAAATTTGGAAAAATGCATAATAGGTCAAAAGTTTCCTTAGATAATTATAAAAAAATCGATTATTCTTTTACCAGACTATTTAAGGTTAATTTTTTTTTTCTTTTTTTTTTTACTTAGATTTTAAAACTACATGTCTAACTGTAAGCTTAAAAAATTAGGGAAAAAATTTAATCGATTTTTTAATATCTTTTAAAAATCTTTGAGCCCACTCTGTATTGTAAACGAAAGAGGACAAGGAAAAAAAAAAAAAAAGAAAAAAAAAGTAAAAATAAAAAAAAAAGGAGAAAGAAAATTATTTAGAAGATTGGATACTTTTGCAAGAGATTCCTAAGGTGGTCCCAAAGCCACGAACGAGGGCCCCACACCGTCACGATATGAGAAAAGGCCCACTGACCGAGATACTCCTTTCCATTCTTCTTCCTTCTCTTTCTTCGTGCGGATCTTCTAGCAATGGCCACGTATCATAGCCGGATCCTCTAGAATTTTCGTCCTAAATTTCTGTCCATACGATATACGATATACGATATATATATATATATATATATATATACACATGTGTATATATATGTACATTCTTATATTTCTTTATTTCCTAATTCGTTTGATTTATGGATACCTGTTATGTATGGATTTAGGTTAACTTCGTTAATATTTCAAATTGATCGTACAATATCAATTAATTTTCTCGTCTAATATTTTACAAGTTTTTCCATTAGAAAAAGAAAAAAAAATCATAGATTTTATAAATAAACATATACTAATAATAATAATAATAATATTATTATTATTTATTCTATTACTTACTCCTTTCTTCTAAAATATATTATAGTATTTCTGATTTTGGATTGACTTTTTAATTTTTTTTTTTCTTTGAATATAAAATACTTTTCACATAATTCTTTTTACCATCATTTATATTTATTCATTCCAACATGAGCATCGAATATTATATTTTTGAAATGAAAAAGTAACAATAATTATATTTATAAATATCTTTATAATTTGTGTTATATCCTCCATGAACATTTCCGTTATTCCTTCTTTTTTTCTTTTTTAAAATAAATAAAACGTCATTAGGGCGACATCTGTGATATAATTTGAAAATTCGTAAGGATTAATGCAAAATTTGCAAATTTAAAGAAGATTAAATTAATAGGATATTTCGATCGACGTATGGAAATAGAAAAGATTTATTATTAAATGAAAGATTTATTGATTAAATTATCAACTGTTGTTTAATTATCGAATTATATATATATATAAAAAAAAAAAAAAAAAAAGAGAGAATACATTGGGTTATTTTTTTACGTACATAATTTTAACAAATTTCTTTATTACATTCATATGTTAAATACTGTACATTAATTAATTAGTCCTTTAATTCTATTTTTATAGACATATTGCAAGAATTGCAAGGAAATACTTAACATTTATATGATCTATTATTATAATATATATATGTATATGTATATATATATATATTATGTGTGTGTGTATGTATATATATATTTGTATTATATATATATATATAAATACATATGAAGATAAAATTATTTGACCTTCAAATTATGTTTTACATTCACGATAATCACTTTTTAAATAAAATCATTATACTGATATTATCATGATTAATAAATTCGATGTTAGATCATTCTTATACTACAATCTGTCAGTTTTGTTTGTTTGTTTTTTTTTTCTTTTTCTTTTTTGTACAAATAAACTTAATCTACCAAAATTAATACGCATTGCAAATATGAAAGCATAAATTAAATAAATTCTATATAAATTTTTTTTTGAACAATTTATGTTATTCTGTCTAATAATTTTATACTTTCCACTGAAGAAAACTAATTAATTAATTAATTTGATCAATACTACTATAATTATAGCAGGCATACGTTGAATATTATTGCATTAGTTTTTGTTTTTTTTTGTTTTGTTTTTTTTTTGTTTTTTTTCCTTTATTATATATATATTTTTTGTTCTTTTTTTTTATTTTTTTTTTTTAATTTTTGTCTTTGTAACAAAACATTTTTGTTACAGAATCTTGAAAATATTGTGCACATATGTATTTGTATATAAATAGATGGTAAATAAAAATGGATGAAAGAGATTCACGTGAATTAATAATATTCAATTGTATACTCTATTATAAAGTACACGCTATATGCATGATAAGAATATTGTTAAATAGAGATTTTACAGTACATATGTATAACACACACATTACTTTCATCTTATAACAGATGTAAGAATTTACATGCGTTATATATCATTGTCTTGTAATCTAATTACTAGAAGATCATCTTTCGCTACTCCAATAACTTTTTCCAATAACTTCTGAAAAAAAAAATAAAGTCTCGAATTTCAAAGAGTTCCTTTGAATATTGAAATTCATTTGAAAAACTATAGTTTTATAATATTAATATTCTACATAGAAATTTAATCATTTTGATTTCACTTACCCGTACGATTATTCACTGGACTACGACTACGGGAATAACTACGACTATAACTTCGACGATTCGTTCGTCCATTACGTTCTCTACTATGACTTCGACTTCGACTTCTTGTATAACTTCGTTCTTTACCATTACGACCTGTTCGAGTTCGCCATCGATTTCTTCCACCTGTTTATATATATTTATATATATATATAAAATATATTTATTATATTGCACATATTCAAAATCTTACTATACATTGGAATAAAACAATTGGACTTTTTTTTAAGAGCAATTGAATGAATGGAAAGGAAGAAAAACTAAAAGTGACATAAGAAATTATATATCATAAGGAATAATAAATGCAATACATGATCTATTAATCATTATGAATAGTATATAAATAGTAAATAATTATTAATATGATAACAACCTCTATGCCTTCCATAAGCTGCAGATTTTCCTTCTGCAAGTTCTAAAAGTTTTGGATTTATAACTTGATTTGCTTCTTTTAATACTTGAATTAAATCATTAGCCTTGTTAGAATTATTAGGTGTGAAGAATGTATAAGCAGTCCCAGTTTTTTGTCGTCGACCTGTACGTCCAATTCGATGAACATAATCTTCTGAACAAGAAGGGTAGTCAAAGTTGATAACAAACTTGACGTCTTCAACGTCTGAAATGAAGGAATTACGTCAGCTAATAGTTTCTCCTATTAAATAAAATTTTTTAAAACACACATCTCTGTTATGTAGAAAGCAGTGTAACGACAAATGAAATACACTGCATCAGATATAGATTTTATACTTCGAAATATAAATTGTAGAATAAATGAAAAGTTAATACACTCTCCAAAAAAGATATATATATATATATATATGACTTTAGTTTCATTGTATACTGTAATTTTAGTTGATTCTTCTTTTCAAATATGTAATAACTAGTTAAGAAACCATAGATCATTCTTAATGCTTAAAAAGAATGGAAATGTAATAAAGTAAATAATGTATGACGAAAAAAAAAAATAATAAAAGTGTAGTAATTCCTAAAACAAATATAAATTATATATAAATATATATATATATATATATATATATATATATATATATAATTTATTTATTTTTATTTTATACTTTTTTGTAGAGAGCTGAATTTATACTGATTCTTTAGAGAGCGTTTAGAGAGCATTTATAAAATATAAAAATTTTAAACAAAGAAATAATTCTTATATATTAAAAATGACTTCAGTCACTTTCTAAAAATATCGAAGTACAAAAAATGAAAAAATAATGAATTGTATAATTAATGAAAATTAGATATATATCTGATGTGTACGCTTCAGAGACGACGATATCAATCTAAAAGGATAGAGAAAAAGAGATCGATATTAGAAAATGGACCAAAGTCACGGATACTTAGAGAATTTGATTTGAAGATTATAGTTAGTAATATAAAATATGAGAATGATGAGAGAATAGAGAAATATAGTTATCACATGGATTAGAAGGAATAGAAGGAAGTGTAAAATAGTTTAGATGGATATAAATATTATATGTATACGTATACATATATGTATGTATGTGTGTATGCATCTATGTGTTCGTGAGAGTGTGTTGTTTGTAAATATATAGATATATATAGAGATATATATATATATGTATATACGTACATACGTATTTATATGTAACGTATATATCGTGTGTATATCGATTAACTTGATTTGACTATCATACTATAAAATTAGGCAGTGGGCGAGTGTCGCTAGCAACGTACGGGCAGGGCCTGGCTGTTTGCGCTCGCTCCAGCTACAGCCTCCGCCGCTCTGTTGCTACAGGGCACATTGAGGCTCTGGCATCTGCTATTCATGCCACCGCCTCATCGGACCGTTGTTGGGTCTGATTAGCTCGAGCAGCCAACGCAGGGGACACTATTCTGGCAACAACGACCTGGTCAGCCCAGATGGCGTACAGCGCAGCGTAGGACTGAGATATCCAGTATGTAGGTAGTAAAGTAGATCCCGATTTGGCCCGGACTGGCCCTTCACGTAATTGACGGATAGAGGCACGCGCCGCAGCCAGCGCAGACAATGCAAACTAGTGCACCACCGAACAAAGAGGCGGCGGGCACCCCCAATATGCTTTGCATTACCCGGCGTGGGCCTGCGCGCAATGTGCCTCTGCAATGCAAACAAACATCCAGCCGCGTTAGCTACATATATATCTTTGGCTCTCTTCCTCCTATTCAATATAGTTCTAAAATATTTCTATGCTTTCTATATAGTTTTCGAATCCTAACATTTATAATTAAATTATATATATATAACTTTAGTATATCAACGTACAACTATATATATATATATGTACATTTAGGCAGCAAATTTTTATATATTATCTTTTTTACTAAATCCTATTTGTATGATCAATTTTTTTTTTCTCTAAATTTTTGTTTTAGCTTCATAAGAGGAATTACTGATAAAGCGCGCGACAAATTATTTTCAAAATATATCTAAATAAGCATTTATCAACAATTTATAAATAATCAATTTCAATAGATATCATTTTCTTTTTTTTTTTTGCTAATAATAAAATTCTAAAATAATACTCTTTTTTACTATCCTACTAAATTGTATAACTAGAAGAGTGCATTGCACAAATACCCTTCTAGTAGAAAATTTGGATAAATTTGATTTACTCCGTTATTTACTGCCTTAATTATAGATCCCCTTGTATAACAAAGAAATAATTGATATTATACCATACTGTTATCTTATACTGTAATAGGAATAAAGAAGGTGTTATTAACTTACCAAGACCACGTGCAGCTACATCTGTTGCAACAAGAATAGGTGCTTTGCCTGATCTAAAATCTATAATAAAATACTCATTAGTAATAATATAATCTAAACAATAACATGCGTACATATGAAATTAAAGTAAATCCATTTATATACTTATATTTATACCTTGTAATACCCAATCTCTTTCTTGCTGCGTCTTATCTCCGTGGATACAAACAGCTGGCCAACCATCGCGTTTCATTTTTCTTGTAATTTCGTCAACTCGACGTTTCGTTTCAATAAATACTATAGTTTTATTCTCATTTTCTGCCATTATCTCCTTTAAAAGAGTACTTAATCTGTAACATCATATAACGAATACACGTTACAATTAAATAAAAACAAGAAGGGAAAAAAAAGAAAAAGAAAGAGAGAGAAAGAAAATCAAATAAATCATTATGACACTTACTTATTCTCTTTTTCATAATCCTGGCACACGTCGATTATCTGTAAAATATTATGATTTGCTGCAAGCTGTAAAGATCCGACATTTATTTGGGCATAATCTTTAAGAAAGTCTTCGGCCAAATTCTTCACTTCTTTCGGCCAAGTAGCTGACCACATTAATGTTTGCCTATCCGGTCTTATTTGTTCTATAATTTTTCTAATTTGTGGCTCAAATCCCATATCCAACATTCTATCTGCTTCGTCTAATACTAAATATGTACATCTTTTCAAATTTGTTCTTCCTGATTCCAAAAAGTCTAGCAATCTACCTGGTGTAGCTATAACTATTTCGACACCTCCATCTAAATCTCTAGCCTGAGCCCCTTTAGGAGCACCGCCGTACAAACAAGTATTTCTTATACCCGATGAATGACCAAAGTCATCGGCGACCTGTTGTATTTGTTGAGCAAGTTCTCTTGTAGGAGCTAATACCAATGCTATTGGGCCATCCTTTCGGCTTAATTTCGGTTGGCTATTAATATGAACAATAGCAGGAAGTATATATGACAATGTTTTACCAGATCCCGTAGATGCAATTCCAACCATGTCTCGTCCACTTAATGCTATTGGCCATCCTTGGGCCTGAATTGACGTAGGTTCACTAAAACCTTGCCTTCTGCAGATAAATAAAAAATATCATTATATTATGTATTACATACATTCAATACAATAACATTGTTATTATTTTCAACTTACTTGATTTCTTTAAGTACATAATCAGGAAAACCTGTTTCTTCAAATGTAAAAACAGGATTTGGTATATTTTTTCCTTTCAAAGTTATTTCTTTTTCACTTCTATATTGTTCTACCATACGTGGATCACGATTCTGTACAACGTCAGTCGGTATATAAAAATCTTTTTTAAAAGGCTCTAATCTACTAAGATCCCATCTAGGTTTTCTCAAATTAGCTCCGGGTTGACCTCGGTTGTTACGACCACTGATACCTCTATCACGACCAGCACCTCCACCCCAACTTCTTCTATCTCTAGGTGATCGACTACGAGATCTTGTTCTTGATCTGCGTCTCCTGTCTCTGTCACGACTACGACTAAAATTTAAAAAGTTTTTATTATTTTAATTAAAGATTACAAAAAATTTCGTTATCATAAAAATATTTCTATTAATATATATACTATTTGATTTGGATAAAATTTGTTTTTGAAATAAACGAAAATCTCCTCGTTAATATTTTCCTCATAAGATAGATTTATTATAATATTTAATTGTTATATATTAATCAATTCATATATTTAAAATTTTAATTCCAGCTGGAAATGAGAGGTTAGAAAAGTATAACTCAGGGCTAAAGTAATACAATAAAAATACAATAAATTACATCTTTTCGAAAGATCGTAGATATAAAAATGATTCGTATTGTAAAAAAAATTAAATCCTTCGTTACACGATTAAAAATAATTCATTCTATTCTAGTGATTGTAAAGTACTCTTAACTAAGCTTTAACTTGTTTAAATTTAATTAATAATAATTTAATTCATATATACCTTCTATAGCGTCCCATGTTGAATTCTCTATAAAAAAAATCTTTTTCTTATAATAATACGTATATGAGTGCTTGATTAGGAACTCTAGAGAAATTTAACGTATACAAAACACGTTTCAGAATGAAACTGACGAAACACAGCAAAATGACGCAAAAGGAAACGAAAGCTGCAGCCATTACGGGCGGTAGCCGACCGCTATCCTTTATTCTTTTGTGGCGAATTCTCATTGGTTTATTTTTAATGTTAAACTTTAACCATAGAAATAGAAATTCTTAGTAGAGTGACTATAATATTCTATTGATTAAAAATAACTAGGCAAAAAGTACTAGTGCCAATTGAAAGTAACAATCTTACAATTTTATAGATGGCAATAGTTACATCCTGTTATAATTTCCTATTTCCGGTTTAGGAAGAGTATATAAAAAGGGAATTCACCAAAAGTTCGTTCATTTCAAAAGGAATTCCGTAAGTAATATTTCAAATATCTGTTAGTAGTAGTAGATTCTTTTACAGTTAATTTCAAGTTTAAATAAACATATAAGGTATAATATATATTTAAGCAAATATATTAAGCAAATATATTAAGCAAATATATTATTTGTTTGCATGTGATAATTATATGTTACTTTATTTCATTTAATATTATTATAAACGTTTGTTATTTTTGTTTTCTTTTTTAGAAAAGCGTCTAAACATTCAGAATTAATTTTTTACTTTTGAAATTTTATACATCGCAACGTGGTTTTAATTGAAAGGAAAAATTCCATATTTTATTAACGTGTAATATAATATAATATTTACAATGGCAGAATTACAGTAAGGATATTTTATATTCTTATATATATATGTAAATTTATATATTTCTTATATTTTTTTTCTTTGTTTATTTATATGATAAATCAAAATTATTGCATTGAGTTTAGTGTAATTGTTTTTTATTTGTATTTAAGAATGAATGAAGGATGGAATAGTGATCAAGAATTTGAATATCCATTTGATGAACAAGAAACTGTACAAGTAACCAGAAAGAAAAATTATAGTACAAAGACTAGATTTAATAATTTTAGAAGTTCCAAAAATGGTTCACAACAAGCAAAATCAAATGATCTAATTATAAATATAGATTCAAAGAAAGTAGGTAAACTTATAGGCAAGGGTGGTTGCAATATAAAAGAATTGCAAGAGAAAAGTAAAACAAGGATTTATGTAAGTGTAACACTGATATTAAAAGAGATTCAATGAAGGGGAATATTTGAATATTTAAAAGAGATTATGAAATTAAATATATAATTAAATATATTTTTTACAATTTTTTACATGTAGATAAATCAATCTACTACATGTGGTGTTAGTACAGTTACTTTAATCGGATCTCCGGCAGCACAAAGTAAAGCTAAAGAATTAATTGATGAATTATTAAAAGATACTCCGCAACCTGTGAAAACTGAGCAAAAAAAGGGAACGAAATTCAATTTGAATCGAATTAACAAAAGTGTAAATTTTATTTCAAGATTTTAAATTATAAATATATTCGTAAACGGAACGAATAATAATTTAAATTAATATTTTAAACAGCATGATGAACCATTCACTTATCCACCTATATATAAGAACTTTTATCAAGAGGATCCTGTTATTACTCATATGCCTGCTGAACGTGTAGCAGAAATAAGAGCACAAAATAATAATATTGAAGTTCAACATGTGTTTGACGATGAAGAAAGTAATGTTGACATATGTTGCATTCCTAATCCTATTGAAACATTTGAACAAGCTTTCCATGTAAGTACAATACATTACAACAAACTTTCCATGCAAGTATAAGATTGAAAAGTTATGGTATGAAAAAAAGAAATATATATATATATATACAATTATAGAATTATCCGCAAGTTCTTGAAGAAATAAAAAAACAAGGCTTTACAAATCCAAGTCCTATACAGCGTCAAGGATGGCCAATTCTACTTAGCGGCAAAGATATGATTGGTATAGCACAGACTGGAACAGGTTTGTACTATATATTTATATTGTTTTATTGTAATTATAAGCATTTAATTATTATATAATTTTTATTTTTTAATATTTTTATTGTTGTTATTATTATTATTAGGCAAAACATTAGCATTTCTTTTGCCTGCATTAATTCACATTGATGGTCAAAGGACTCCTTTTAATGAAAGAGTTGGTCCTAATGTTCTGATTTTGGCACCAACTAGAGAATTAGCATTACAAATAGAAAAAGAAGTAGGAAAATATTCGTATCGTAATATTAAAGCGTAAGTAGTTATATGTAAATAAGTTTTTTTAATTTCCATATTTAATTATATATATATATATATATATATATATACATTTGATTAACAACTGCTTAAAAATGCTGACATTATTTTAGTGTTTGTCTGTACGGTGGCGGTAATCGACAAGATCAAATAGATATAGTAACAGAAGGTGTACAAATAGTCATAGCTACACCGGGAAGATTAAATGATCTTGTATTAGCAAGAGCTATAGATGTAAGATCTGTTACATATCTTGTACTAGATGAAGCAGACCGTATGCTGGATATGGGGTTCGAACCTCAAATAAGGAAAAGTTTATTTGATGTGAGATCCGATAGACAAACTATAATGACAAGGTATTTAATATACATATTCGTATCGTACATATATATATATATATATATATATAAAATTATATTTTTTTAATTTTTAAAATAGTGCTACATGGCCACCAGGTGTTAGACGCTTAGCACGATCATATATGAAGGATCCAATTCAAGTATTTGTTGGATCATTAAATTTATCAGCTGTACATACAGTAAAACAACATATTCATGTAATCGACGAGGAAGATAAATTTGCTGTGGTAAGTTATTGTATAATCAATGTTTTTTCTTCTAAATTAATTATTTTATATATTGATCTCATTATACTTAATAAATAATATAATTGATTTTACGGGAGAATATTAATCTTTATATATATATATTTTTTTTTTACATCAGTTTTATGAATTTATTCGCAATATGGATCCCGAAGACAAGATTATTGCTTTTTTTTCTAAAAAAGCAAGAGTAGACGATGTATCGAGCGACCTATCTCTCTCGTATGTTAAAAATGAAAGTATTCATGGTGGAAGAGATCAAGAAGATAGAGAACAAGCCATAGAAGATTTAAAAAATGGCTCGGTACGAATTCTTCTTGCAACAGACGTTGTTAGCCGAGGTATTGACATCGAGGATATAACGTATGTTTTATTATTTATTCTTCCACTTTTTCTAACATATTTTTCTAAGATTTCTTTTATATATATATATATATATGCGTGTGTGTGTTTATAGGCATGTCTTCAATTATGATTTTCCACGTGATATAGAAGAATATGTCCATCGAGTTGGACGTACAGGTCGCGCTGGTAAAACCGGCGAAAGTATAACGTTAATGACCAAAAATGACTGGTCACATTCCAAAGAACTTATCAGTATTTTAGAAGAGGCTAATCAAGTAAGTAATAATAGTAATATTAAAATTTATAAAATTATTATAGTTCTAAATATAGTTCTGTGCATTTAAAGTTTTTTTTTTTTAAATCCTCCTGTATTATAAAAAGTTTAATAATGTGCTAAAATCTTTATTAGATGGTGCCAGATGAGTTATATAGTATGGCCGAAAGATACGATGCCTGGAAAATGAAACGGGCGGAAGAACGAGCAAATCGTTCGAATGGGCAAGGCTACAAGTCTGGCTACAGTAGACAAAATAAGTGGGGTGGAAAATGGTAAATTTTACCATTAATCAACAGAGTCTACACATAGTTATTCTTTTCTTTTTTTTGTCATTTTAATTTTATTTCTTTTTTCCACCTTTTTTCTATCCCATGTAAAATCTTGTACAAATTAATCAGTTCTTTAAGTAATGCATTTCACTTAAATTGTAGAATTTGTGCAATGTTTTCATTTAGTTAATTACTTGTACATATCATTTAGTTAATTGCTTGTACATATCATTTAGTTAATTGTTTGTACATATCAACACATGGATTGGGGGGGGGGGGAAAGAGAAAATAATCTATTTAAACTAACTATATTTTTATACATATAGTTGTAATTTTTTTATATAAACGTATTTTCTAAAAATAAATGTAATTTAATTTTTCTATATATCCTATATAAAACAAATCCTTTGACAAAGTAAAAATTTACCAATATAAACCCTACGTATATTATTAGTTGTATGTGATGTATTGCATATATTGAATTATGGTATAAATAAACTTGTTGTCAAAGTTAATTATTATAAAGATTTAAATATTATTAATAACTTGATAAACCTCTTTTAAAATACTGATAAGTTTATTTGAAATAGTTCCGATACATTTTTACAAAAATCAAGTATCATTTACTATAACATAATACTCAATTTGATCGATGGAAAATAAATAAACGAATCCTAACATTAATAATTAAATCAAATATACAAAAATTTAGTATATCAACGTACAACTATATATATATACATATGTACATTTAGGCTGCAAATTTTTATATATTATCTTTTTTACTAAATACTATTTGTATGATCAATTTTTTTTTTTTTTTTTTTTTTACTAGATTTTTGTTTTAGCTTCATAAGAGGAATTACTGATAAATAGCGCAGCAAACTATTTGCAAAATATATCTAAATAAGATTTTATCTACAATTTATAAATCAATTTCAATAAATATCATTTGGTTTTTTTTTGCTAATAATAAAATTCTAAAATAATGCTCTTTTTTACTAGCCCACTAAATTGTATAACTAGAAGATTGGATTGCACAAATATTCTCCTGGTACAAAATTTGGATAAATATGATTTACTACGTTATTTACTGCTTTAATTATAGATCCCCTTGTATAACAAAGAATTAATTAATATTATACAATACTGTTATCTTATACTATAACAGGAATAGAGAATGTATTATTAACTTACGAAGACCACGTGCAGCTACATCTGTTGCAACAAGAATAGGTGCTTTGCCTGATCTAAAATCTATAATAAAATATTCATTTGTAATAATATAATCTTAGCAATAACATGCGTATATTTGAAATTAAAATAAGTCCATTTATATATTTATATTTATACCTTGGAATACCCAATCTCTTTCTTGCTGCGTCTTATCTCCGTGGATACAAACAGCTGGCCAACCGTCGCGTTTTATTTTTCTTGCAATTTCGTCAACTTGACGTTTCGTTTCAGTAAATACTATAGTTTTATTCTCATTTTCTGCCATTATCTCCTTCAAAAGAGTACTTAATCTGTAACATCATATAATGAATACATGTTACAATTAAATAAAAACTAGAAGGGGGAAAAAAAAGAGAGAGAAAGAAAATCAAATAAATCATTATGACACTTACTTATACTCTTTTTCATAAGCTTGGCATACGTCGATTATCTGTAAAATATTATAATTTGCAGCAAGCTGTACAGATCCAACATTTATTTGGGGATAATCTTTAAGAAAGTCTTCGGCCAAATTCTTCACTTCTTTCGGCCAAATAGCTGACCACATTAATGTTTGCCTATCCGGTCTTATTTATTCTATAATTTTTCTAATTTGTGGCTCAAATCCCATATCCAACATTCTATCTGCTTCGTCTAATATTAAATATGTACATCTTTTCAAATTTGTTCTTCCTGATCCCAAAAAGTCTAACAATCTACCTGGTGTAGGTGGCTTTATCTATTTCGACACCTCCATTTAAATCTCTAGGTTGAGCCCCTTTAGGAACACGGCCGTACAAACAAGTATTTTTTATACCCTATGAATGATCAAAGTCATCGGCGACCTGTTGTATTTGTTGAGCAAGTTCTCTTGCAGGAGCTAATACCAATGCTATTGGGCTGTCCTTTCGGCTTAATTTCGGTTGGCTATTAATATGAACAATAGCATGAAGTATATGTGACAATGTTTTTATATATGACAGATTCTGTAGATGCAATTCTAACCATGTCTCATCCATTTAATGCTATTGGCCATCCTTGGGCCTGAATTGATGTAGGTTCACTAAAACCTTGCCTTCTGCAGATAGATAAAAAATATCATTCTATTATGTATTACATACATTCAATACAATAACATTGTTATTACTTTCATCTTACTTGATTTCTTTAATTAGATAATCAGGAAAATCTATTTCTTCAAATGTAAAAACAGGATTTGGTAAATTTTTTTCTTTCTAAGTAATTTCTTCTTCACTTCTATATAATTCTACCATACGTGAATCACGATTCTGTACAACGTCAGTCGGTGTACAAAAATATTTTTTAAAAGACTCTAATCTACTAAGATCCCAATTCCGTTTTCTCAAATTAGCTCCGGATTCAGTTTCAGAAACATGGCAAAATGACGCAAAATGAAACGAAAACCGCAACCATTACGGGCAGTAGCCGACCGTTATCATTTATTCTTTAGCTGGAGGATTCTCATTGGTTTATTTTTAACCTTAAACTTTAACCATAGAAATAGTAATTGTTCGTAGAGTGATTTTAATATTCGGTTGGTTAAACATAACTATACAAAAAGTACTAGTGTTAATTGAAAGTAACAATCTTTTCAATTTTATAGATGGCAATAGTTACATCCTGTTATAATTTCCTATTTCCGGTTTAGGAAGAGTATATAAAAAGGGAATTCACCAAAAGTTCGTTCATTTCAAAAGGAATTCCGTAAGTAATATTTCAAATATCTGTTAGTAGTAGTAGATTCTTTTACAGTTAATTTCAAGTTTAAATAAACATATAAGGTATATATATATATTTAAGCAAATATATTAAGCAAATATATTAAGCAAATATATTATTTGTTTGCATGTGATAATTATATGTTACTTTATTTCATTTAATATTATTATAAACGTTTGTTATTTTTGTTTTCCTTTTTAGAAAAGCGTCTAAACATTCAGAATTAATTTTTTACTTTTGAAATTTTATACATCGCAACGTGGTTTTAATTGAAAGGAAAAATTCCATATTTTATTAACGTGTAATATAATATAATATTTACAATGGCAGAATTACAGTAAGGATATTTTATATTCTTATATATATATGTAAATTTATATATTTCTTATATTTTTTTTCTTTGTTTATTTATATGATAAATCAAAATTATTGCATTGAGTTTAGTGTAATTGTTTTTTATTTGTATTTAAGAATGAATGAAGGATGGAATAGTGATCAAGAATTTGAATATCCATTTGATGAACAAGAAACTGTACAAGTAACCAGAAAGAAAAATTATAGTACAAAGACTAGATTTAATAATTTTAGAAGTTCCAAAAATGGTTCACAACAAGCAAAATCAAATGATCTAATTATAAATATAGATTCAAAGAAAGTAGGTAAACTTATAGGCAAGGGTGGTTGCAATATAAAAGAATTGCAAGAGAAAAGTAAAACAAGGATTTATGTAAGTGTAACACTGATATTAAAAGAGATTCAATGAAGGGGAATATTTGAATATTTAAAAGAGATTATGAAATTAAATATATAATTAAATATATTTTTTACAATTTTTTACATGTAGATAAATCAATCTACTACATGTGGTGTTAGTACAGTTACTTTAATCGGATCTCCGGCAGCACAAAGTAAAGCTAAAGAATTAATTGATGAATTATTAAAAGATACTCCGCAACCTGTGAAAACTGAGCAAAAAAAGGGAACGAAATTCAATTTGAATCGAATTAACAAAAGTGTAAATTTTATTTCAAGTTTTTAAATTATAAATATATTCGTAAACGGAACGAATAATAATTTAAATTAATATTTTAAACAGCATGATGAACCATTCACTTATCCACCTATATATAAGAACTTTTATCAAGAGGATCCTGTTATTACTCATATGCCTGCTGAACGTGTAGCAGAAATAAGAGCACAAAATAATAATATTGAAGTTCAACATGTGTTTGACGATGAAGAAAGTAATGTTGACATATGTTGCATTCCTAATCCTATTGAAACATTTGAACAAGCTTTCCATGTAAGTACAATACATTACAACAAACTTTCCATGCAAGTATAAGATTGAAAAGTTATGGTATGAAAAAAAGAAATATATATATATATATACAATTATAGAATTATCCGCAAGTTCTTGAAGAAATAAAAAAACAAGGCTTTACAAATCCAAGTCCTATACAGCGTCAAGGATGGCCAATTCTACTTAGCGGCAAAGATATGATTGGTATAGCACAGACTGGAACAGGTTTGTACTATATATTTATATTGTTTTATTGTAATTATAAGCATTTAATTATTATATAATTTTTATTTTTTAATATTTTTATTGTTGTTATTATTATTATTAGGCAAAACATTAGCATTTCTTTTGCCTGCATTAATTCACATTGATGGTCAAAGGACTCCTTTTAATGAAAGAGTTGGTCCTAATGTTCTGATTTTGGCACCAACTAGAGAATTAGCATTACAAATAGAAAAAGAAGTAGGAAAATATTCGTATCGTAATATTAAAGCGTAAGTAATTATATGTAAATAAGTTTTTTTAATTTCCATATTTAATTATATATATATATATATATATATATATACATTTGATTAACAACTGCTTAAAAATGCTGACATTATTTTAGTGTTTGTCTGTACGGTGGCGGTAATCGACAAGATCAAATAGATATAGTAACAGAAGGTGTACAAATAGTCATAGCTACACCGGGAAGATTAAATGATCTTGTATTAGCAAGAGCTATAGATGTAAGATCTGTTACATATCTTGTACTAGATGAAGCAGACCGTATGCTGGATATGGGGTTCGAACCTCAAATAAGGAAAAGTTTATTTGATGTGAGATCCGATAGACAAACTATAATGACAAGGTATTTAATATACATATTCGTATCGTACATATATATATATATAAAATTATATTTTTTTAATTTTTAAAATAGTGCTACATGGCCACCAGGTGTTAGACGCCTAGCTCGATCATATATGAAAGATCCAATTCAAGTATTTGTTGGATCATTAAATTTATCAGCTGTACATACAGTAAAACAACATATTCATATAATCGACGAGGAAGATAAATTTGCTGTGGTAAGTTATTGTATAATCAATGTTTTTTCTTCTGAATTAATTATTTTATATATTGATCTCATTATACTTAATAAATAATATAATTGATTTTACGGGAGAATATTAATCTATATATATATATATATTTTTTTTTTACATCAGTTTTATGAATTTATTCGCAATATGGATCCCGAAGACAAGATTATTGCTTTTTTTTCTAAAAAAGCAAGAGTAGACGATGTATCGAGCGACCTATCTCTCTCGTATGTTAAAAATGAAAGTATTCATGGTGGAAGAGATCAAGAAGACAGAGAACAAGCCATAGAAGATTTAAAAAATGGCTCGGTACGAATTCTTCTTGCAACAGACGTTGTTAGCCGAGGTATTGACATCGAGGATATAACGTATGTTTTATTATTTATTCTTCCACTTTTTCTAACATATTTTTCTAAGATTTCTTTTATATATATATATATATATATATATATGTGTGTGTGTGTTTATAGGCATGTCTTCAATTATGATTTTCCACGTGATATAGAAGAATATGTCCATCGAGTTGGACGTACAGGTCGCGCTGGTAAAACCGGCGAAAGCATAACGTTAATGACCAAAAATGACTGGTCACATTCCAAAGAACTTATCAGTATTTTAGAAGAGGCTAATCAAGTAAGTAATAATAGTAATATTAAAATTTATAAAATTATTATAGCTGTAAATATAGTTCCGTGCATTTAAAGTTTTTTTTTTTAAATCCTCCTGTATTATAAAAAGTTTAATAATGTGCTAAAATCTTTATTAGATGGTGCCAGATGAGTTATATAGTATGGCCGAAAGATACGATGCCTGGAAAATGAAACGGGCGGAAGAACGAGCAAATCGTTCAAATGGGCAAGGCTATAAGTCTGGCTACAGTAGACAAAATAAGTGGGGCGGAAAATGGTAAATTTTACCATTAATCAACAGAGTCTACACATAGTTGTTCTTTAATTTTTTTGTCATTTTAATTTTATTTCTTTTCTCCACCTTTTTTCCATCCCATGTAAAATATCTTGTACAAATCAATCAGTTCTTAAAGTAATGCATTTCACTTAGATCGTAGAATTTGTGCAATGTTTTCATTTAGTTAATTACTTGTACATATCATTTAGTTAATTACTTGTACATATCATTTAGTTAATTGCTTGTACATATCATTTAGTTAATTGTTTGTACATATCATCAACTCATGGTTTGGAGGTGTGGGGGGAAAGAGGAAATAATCTATTTAAAATAACTATATTTTTATACATATAGTTGTAATTATTTTATATAAACATATTTTCTAAAAATAAATGTAATTTAATTTTTCTATATATCCTATATAAAACAAATCCTTTGACAAAGTAAAAATTTACCAATATAAACCCTACGTATATTATTAGTTGTATATGTGAGGTATTGCATATACTGAATTATGGTATAAATAAACTTGTTGTCAAAGTTAATTATTATAAAGATTTAAATATTATTAATAACTTGATAAACCTCTTTTAAAATACTGATAAGTTTATTTGAAATAGTTCCGATACATTTTTACAAAAATCAAGTATCATTTACTATAACATAATACTCAATTTGATCGATGGAAAATAAATAAACGAATCCTAACATTAATAATTAAATCAAATATACAAAAATTTAGTATATCAACGTACAACTATATATATATACATATGTACATTTAGGCTGCAAATTTTTATATATTATCTTTTTTACTAAATACTATTTGTATGATCAATTTTTTTTTTTTTTTTTTTTTTTACTAGATTTTTGTTTTAGCTTCATAAGAGGAATTACTGATAAATAGCGCAGCAAACTATTTGCAAAATATATCTAAATAAGATTTTATCTACAATTTATAAATCAATTTCAATAAATATCATTTGGTTTTTTTTTGCTAATAATAAAATTCTAAAATAATGCTCTTTTTTACTAGCCCACTAAATTGTATAACTAGAAGATTGGATTGCACAAATATTCTCCTGGTACAAAATTTGGATAAATATGATTTACTACGTTATTTACTGCTTTAATTATAGATCCCCTTGTATAACAAAGAATTAATTAATATTATACAATACTGTTATCTTATACTATAACAGGAATAGAGAATGTATTATTAACTTACGAAGACCACGTGCAGCTACATCTGTTGCAACAAGAATAGGTGCTTTGCCTGATCTAAAATCTATAATAAAATATTCATTTGTAATAATATAATCTTAGCAATAACATGCGTATATTTGAAATTAAAATAAGTCCATTTATATATTTATATTTATACCTTGGAATACCCAATCTCTTTCTTGCTGCGTCTTATCTCCGTGGATACAAACAGCTGGCCAACCGTCGCGTTTTATTTTTCTTGCAATTTCGTCAACTTGACGTTTCGTTTCAGTAAATACTATAGTTTTATTCTCATTTTCTGCCATTATCTCCTTCAAAAGAGTACTTAATCTGTAACATCATATAATGAATACATGTTACAATTAAATAAAAACTAGAAGGGGGAAAAAAAAGAGAGAGAAAGAAAATCAAATAAATCATTATGACACTTACTTATACTCTTTTTCATAAGCTTGGCATACGTCGATTATCTGTAAAATATTATAATTTGCAGCAAGCTGTACAGATCCAACATTTATTTGGGGATAATCTTTAAGAAAGTCTTCGGCCAAATTCTTCACTTCTTTCGGCCAAATAGCTGACCACATTAATGTTTGCCTATCCGGTCTTATTTATTCTATAATTTTTCTAATTTGTGGCTCAAATCCCATATCCAACATTCTATCTGCTTCGTCTAATATTAAATATGTACATCTTTTCAAATTTGTTCTTCCTGATCCCAAAAAGTCTAACAATCTACCTGGTGTAGGTGGCTTTATCTATTTCGACACCTCCATTTAAATCTCTAGGTTGAGCCCCTTTAGGAACACGGCCGTACAAACAAGTATTTTTTATACCCTATGAATGATCAAAGTCATCGGCGACCTGTTGTATTTGTTGAGCAAGTTCTCTTGCAGGAGCTAATACCAATGCTATTGGGCTGTCCTTTCGGCTTAATTTCGGTTGGCTATTAATATGAACAATAGCATGAAGTATATATGACAATGTTTTTATATATTACAGATCCCGTAGATGCAATTCTAACCATGTCTCATCCATTTAATGCTATTAGCCATCCTTAGGCCTGAATTGATGTAGGTTCACTAAAACCTTGCCTTCTGCAGATAGATAAAAAATATCATTCTATTATGTATTACATACATTCAATACAATAACATTGTTATTACTTTCATCTTACTTGATTTCTTTAATTAGATAATCAGGAAAATCTATTTCTTCAAATGTAAAAACAGGATTTGGTAAATTTTTTTCTTTCTAAGTAATTTCTTCTTCACTTCTATATAATTCTACCATACGTGAATCACGATTCTGTACAACATCAGTCGGTATACAAAAATATTTCTTAAAAGACTCTAATCTACTAAGATCCCAATTCCGTTTTCTCAAATTAGCTCCAGGTTCAGTTTCAGAAACATGGCAAAATGACGCAAAATGAAACGAAAACCGCAACCATTACGGGCAGTAGACGACCGTTATCATTTATTCTTTATTTGGAGGATTCTCATTGGTTTATTTTTAACCTTTAACTTTAACCATAGAAATACTAATTGTTCGTAGAGTGATTTTAATATTCGGTTGGTTAAACATAACTATACAAAAAGTACTAGTGTTAATTGAAAGTAACAATCTTTTCAATTTTATAGATGGCAATAGTTACATCCTGTTATAATTTCCTATTTCCGGTTTAGGAAGAGTATATAAAAAGGGAATTCACCAAAAGTTCGTTCATTTCAAAAGGAATTCCGTAAGTAATATTTCAAATATCTTTTAGTAGTAGTAGATTCTTTTGCAATTAATTTCAAGTTTAAATAAACATATAAGGTATTATATATATTTATTATTCAATAAGTAAATATATTATTTGTTTGCATGTGGTAATTATATGTTATTTTATTTAATTTAATATTATTATAAACGTTTGTTATTTTTGTTTTTCTTTTTAGAAAAGCGTCTAGACATTCAGAATTAATTTTTTACTTTTGAAATTTTATACATCGCAACGTGGTTTTAATTGAAAGGAAAAGTTCCATATTTTATTAACGTGTATTATAATATAATATTTACAATGGCAGAATTACAGTAAGGATATTTTATATTTTTATATATATATGTAAATTTATGTATTTCTTATATTTTTTTTCTTTGTTTATTTATATGATAAATCAAAATTATTGCATTGAGTTTAGTGTAATTGTTTTTTATTTGTATTTAAGAATGAATGAAGGATGGAATAGTGATCAAGAATTTGAATATCCATTTGATGAACAAGAAACTGTACAAGTAACCAGAAAGAAAAATTATAGTACAAAGACTAGATTTAATAATTTTAGAGTTTCCAAAAATGGTTCACAACAAGCAAAATCAAATGATCTAATTATAAATATAGATTCAAAGAAAGTAGGTAAACTTATAGGCAAGGGTGGTTGCAATATAAAAGAATTGCAAGAGAAAAGTAAAACAAGGATTCATGTAAGTGTAACACTGATATTAAAAGAGATTCAATGAAGGGGAATATTTGAATATTTAAAAGAGATTATGAAATTAAATATATAATTAAATATATTTTTTATAATTTTTTACATGTAGATAAATCAATCTACTACATGTGGTGTTAGTACAGTTACTTTAATCGGATCTCCGGCAGCACAAAGTAAAGCTAAAGAATTAATTGATGAATTATTAAAAGATACTCCGCAACCTGTGAAAACTGAGCAAAAAAAGGGAACGAAATTCAATTTGAATCGAATTAACAAAAGTGTAAATTTTATTTCAAGTTTTTAAATTATAAATATATTCGTAAACGGAACGAATAATAATTTAAATTAATATTTTAAACAGCATGATGAACCATTCACTTATCCACCTATATATAAGAACTTTTATCAAGAGGATCCTGTTATTACTCATATGCCTGCTGAACGTGTAGCAGAAATAAGAGCACAAAATAATAATATTGAAGTTCAACATGTGTTTGACGATGAAGAAAGTAATGTTGACATATGTTGCATTCCTAATCCTATTGAAACATTTGAACAAGCTTTCCATGTAAGTACAATACATTACAACAAACTTTCCATGCAAGTATAAGATTGAAAAGTTATGGTATGAAAAAAAGAAATATATATATATATATACAATTATAGAATTATCCGCAAGTTCTTGAAGAAATAAAAAAACAAGGCTTTACAAATCCAAGTCCTATACAGCGTCAAGGATGGCCAATTCTACTTAGCGGCAAAGATATGATTGGTATAGCACAGACTGGAACAGGTTTGTACTATATATTTATATTGTTTTATTGTAATTATAAGCATTTAATTATTATATAATTTTTATTTTTTAATATTTTTATTGTTGTTATTATTATTATTAGGCAAAACATTAGCATTTCTTTTGCCTGCATTAATTCACATTGATGGTCAAAGGACTCCTTTTAATGAAAGAGTTGGTCCTAATGTTCTGATTTTGGCACCAACTAGAGAATTAGCATTACAAATAGAAAAAGAAGTAGGAAAATATTCGTATCGTAATATTAAAGCGTAAGTAGTTATATGTAAATAAGTTTTTTTAATTTCCATATTTAATTATATATATATATATATATATATATACATTTGATTAACAACTGCTTAAAAATGCTGACATTATTTTAGTGTTTGTCTGTACGGTGGCGGTAATCGACAAGATCAAATAGATATAGTAACAGAAGGTGTACAAATAGTCATAGCTACACCGGGAAGATTAAATGATCTTGTATTAGCAAGAGCTATAGATGTAAGATCTGTTACATATCTTGTACTAGATGAAGCAGACCGTATGCTGGATATGGGGTTCGAACCTCAAATAAGGAAAAGTTTATTTGATGTGAGATCCGATAGACAAACTATAATGACAAGGTATTTAATATACATATTCGTATCGTACATATATATATATATATATATATATATAAAATTATATTTTTTTAATTTTTAAAATAGTGCTACATGGCCACCAGGTGTTAGACGCTTAGCACGATCATATATGAAGGATCCAATTCAAGTATTTGTTGGATCATTAAATTTATCAGCTGTACATACAGTAAAACAACATATTCATGTAATCGACGAGGAAGATAAATTTGCTGTGGTAAGTTATTGTATAATCAATGTTTTTTCTTCTAAATTAATTATTTTATATATTGATCTCATTATACTTAATAAATAATATAATTGATTTTACGGGAGAATATTAATCTTTATATATATATATTTTTTTTTTACATCAGTTTTATGAATTTATTCGCAATATGGATCCCGAAGACAAGATTATTGCTTTTTTTTCTAAAAAAGCAAGAGTAGACGATGTATCGAGCGACCTATCTCTCTCGTATGTTAAAAATGAAAGTATTCATGGTGGAAGAGATCAAGAAGATAGAGAACAAGCCATAGAAGATTTAAAAAATGGCTCGGTACGAATTCTTCTTGCAACAGACGTTGTTAGCCGAGGTATTGACATCGAGGATATAACGTATGTTTTATTATTTATTCTTCCACTTTTTCTAACATATTTTTCTAAGATTTCTTTTATATATATATATATATATGCGTGTGTGTGTTTATAGGCATGTCTTCAATTATGATTTTCCACGTGATATAGAAGAATATGTCCATCGAGTTGGACGTACAGGTCGCGCTGGTAAAACCGGCGAAAGTATAACGTTAATGACCAAAAATGACTGGTCACATTCCAAAGAACTTATCAGTATTTTAGAAGAGGCTAATCAAGTAAGTAATAATAGTAATATTAAAATTTATAAAATTATTATAGTTCTAAATATAGTTCTGTGCATTTAAAGTTTTTTTTTTTTAAATCCTCCTGTATTATAAAAAGTTTAATAATGTGCTAAAATCTTTATTAGATGGTGCCAGATGAGTTATATAGTATGGCCGAAAGATACGATGCCTGGAAAATGAAACGGGCGGAAGAACGAGCAAATCGTTCAAATGGGCAAGGCTATAAGTCTGGCTACAGTAGACAAAATAAGTGGGGTGGAAAATGGTAAATTTTACCATTAATCAACAGAGTCTACACAGTTATTCTTTTCTTTTTTTTGTCATTTTAATTTTATTTCTTTTTTCCACCTTTTTTCCATCCCATGTAAAATCTTGTACAAATTAATCAGTTCTTAAAGTAATGCATTTCACTTAGATTGTAGAATTTGTGCAATGTTTTCATTTAGTTAATTACTTGTATATATCATTTAGTTAATTGCTTGTACATATCATTTAGTTAATTGTTTGTACATATCATCAACACATGGATTGGGGTGTGGGGGGAAAGAGGAAATAATCTATTTAAAATAACTATATTTTTATACATATAGTTGTAATTATTTTATATAAACATATTTTCTAAAAATAAATGTAATTTAATTTTTCTATATATCCTATATAAAACAAATCCTTTGACAAAGTAAAAATTTACCAATATAAACCCTACGTATATTATTAGTTGTATATGTGAGGTATTGCATATACTGAATTATGGTATAAATAAACTTGTTGTCAAAGTTAATTATTATAAAGATTTAAATATTATTAATAACTTGATAAACCTCTTTTAAAATACTGATAAGTTTATTTGAAATAGTTCCGATACATTTTTACAAAAATCAAGTATCATTTACTATAACATAATACTCAATTTGATCGATGGAAAATAAATAAACGAATCCTAACATTAATAATTAAATCAAATATACAAAAATTTAGTATATCAACGTACAACTATATATATATACATATGTACATTTAGGCTGCAAATTTTTATATATTATCTTTTTTACTAAATACTATTTGTATGATCAATTTTTTTTTTTTTTTTTTTTTTACTAGATTTTTGTTTTAGCTTCATAAGAGGAATTACTGATAAATAGCGCAGCAAACTATTTGCAAAATATATCTAAATAAGATTTTATCTACAATTTATAAATCAATTTCAATAAATATCATTTGGTTTTTTTTTGCTAATAATAAAATTCTAAAATAATGCTCTTTTTTACTAGCCCACTAAATTGTATAACTAGAAGATTGGATTGCACAAATATTCTCCTGGTACAAAATTTGGATAAATATGATTTACTACGTTATTTACTGCTTTAATTATAGATCCCCTTGTATAACAAAGAATTAATTAATATTATACAATACTGTTATCTTATACTATAACAGGAATAGAGAATGTATTATTAACTTACGAAGACCACGTGCAGCTACATCTGTTGCAACAAGAATAGGTGCTTTGCCTGATCTAAAATCTATAATAAAATATTCATTTGTAATAATATAATCTTAGCAATAACATGCGTATATTTGAAATTAAAATAAGTCCATTTATATATTTATATTTATACCTTGGAATACCCAATCTCTTTCTTGCTGCGTCTTATCTCCGTGGATACAAACAGCTGGCCAACCGTCGCGTTTTATTTTTCTTGCAATTTCGTCAACTTGACGTTTCGTTTCAGTAAATACTATAGTTTTATTCTCATTTTCTGCCATTATCTCCTTCAAAAGAGTACTTAATCTGTAACATCATATAATGAATACATGTTACAATTAAATAAAAACTAGAAGGGGGAAAAAAAAGAGAGAGAAAGAAAATCAAATAAATCATTATGACACTTACTTATACTCTTTTTCATAAGCTTGGCATACGTCGATTATCTGTAAAATATTATAATTTGCAGCAAGCTGTACAGATCCAACATTTATTTGGGGATAATCTTTAAGAAAGTCTTCGGCCAAATTCTTCACTTCTTTCGGCCAAATAGCTGACCACATTAATGTTTGCCTATCCGGTCTTATTTATTCTATAATTTTTCTAATTTGTGGCTCAAATCCCATATCCAACATTCTATCTGCTTCGTCTAATATTAAATATGTACATCTTTTCAAATTTGTTCTTCCTGATCCCAAAAAGTCTAACAATCTACCTGGTGTAGGTGGCTTTATCTATTTCGACACCTCCATTTAAATCTCTAGGTTGAGCCCCTTTAGGAACACGGCCGTACAAACAAGTATTTTTTATACCCTATGAATGATCAAAGTCATCGGCGACCTGTTGTATTTGTTGAGCAAGTTCTCTTGCAGGAGCTAATACCAATGCTATTGGGCTGTCCTTTCGGCTTAATTTCGGTTGGCTATTAATATGAACAATAGCATGAAGTATATGTGACAATGTTTTTATATATGACAGATTCTGTAGATGCAATTCTAACCATGTCTCATCCATTTAATGCTATTGGCCATCCTTGGGCCTGAATTGATGTAGGTTCACTAAAACCTTGCCTTCTGCAGATAGATAAAAAATATCATTCTATTATGTATTACATACATTCAATACAATAACATTGTTATTACTTTCATCTTACTTGATTTCTTTAATTAGATAATCAGGAAAATCTATTTCTTCAAATGTAAAAACAGGATTTGGTAAATTTTTTTCTTTCTAAGTAATTTCTTCTTCACTTCTATATAGTTCTACCATACGTGAATCACGATTCTGTACATCAGTCGGTATACAAAAATATTTCTTAAAAGACTCTAATCTACTAAGATCCCAATTCCGTTTTCTCAAATTAGCTCCAGGTTCAGTTTTAGAACGAAACTAACGAAACATGGCAAAATGACGCAAAATGAAACGAAAACCGCAACCATCACGGGCAGTAGCCGACCGTTATCATTTATTCCTTTTTGGAGGATTCTCATTGGTTTATTTTTAACGTTAAACTTTAACCATAGAAATAGTAATTGTTCGTAGAGTGATTTTAATATTCTGTTTGTTAAATATAACTATGCAAAAAGTACTAGTGCCAATTGAAAGTAACAATCTTACCATTTTATAGATGGCAATAGTAACACCCTGTTTTAAATTCCTATTTCCGGTTTAGGAAGAGTATATAAAAAGGGAATTCACCGAATTTTCGTTCATTTCCAAAAGGAATTCCGTAAGTACTATTTCAAATGTCTTTTAGTAGTAGTAGATTCTTTTACAGTTAATTTTAATTTTAAATAAACATATAAGGTATTATATATATTTATTATTCATTAAGTAAATATATTATTTGTTTGCATGTGGTAATTATATGTTATTTTATGTAATTTAATATTATTATAAACGTTTGTTATTTTTGTTTTTCTTTTTAGAAAAGCGTCTAGACATTCAGAATTAATTTTTTACTTTTGAAATTTTATACATCGCAACGTGGTTTTAATTGAAAGGAAAAGTTCCATATTTTATTAACGTGTAATATAATATAATATTTACAATGGCAGAATTACAGTAAGGATATTTTATATTTTTATATATATATGTAAATTTATGTATTTCTTATATTTTTTTTTTGTTTATTTATATGATAAATCAAAATTATTGCATTGAGTTTAGTGTAATTGTTTTTTATTTGTATTTAAGAATGAATGAAGGATGGAATAGTGATCAAGAATTTGAATATCCATTTGATGAACAAGAAACTGTACAAGTAACCAGAAAGAAAAATTATAGTACAAAGACTAGACTTAATAATTTTAGAAGTTCCAAAAATGGTTCACAACAAGCAAAATCAAATGATCTAATTATAAATATAGATTCAAAGAAAGTAGGTAAACTTATAGGCAAGGGTGGTTGCAATATAAAAGAATTGCAAGAGAAAAGTAAAACAAGGATTCATGTAAGTGTAACACTGATATTAAAAGAGATTCAATGAAGGGGAATATTTGAATATTTAAAAGAGATTATGAAATTAAATATATAATTAAATATATTTTTTACAATTTTTTACATGTAGATAAATCAATCTACTACATGTGGTGTTAGTACAGTTACTTTAATCGGATCTCCGGCAGCACAAAGTAAAGCTAAAGAATTAATTGATGAATTATTAAAAGATACTCCGCAACCTGTGAAAACTGAGCAAAAAAAGGGGACGAAATTCAATTTGAATCGAATCAACAAAAGTGTAAATTTTATTTCAAGATTTTAAATTATAAATATATTCGTAAACGGAACGAATAATAATTTAAATTAATATTTTAAACAGCATGATGAACCATTCACTTATCCACCTATATATAAGAACTTTTATCAAGAGGATCCTGTTATTACTCATATGCCTGCTGAACGTGTAGCAGAAATAAGAGCACAAAATAATAATATTGAAGTTCAACATGTGTTTGACGATGAAGAAAGTAATGTTGATATATGTTGCATTCCTAATCCTATTGAAACATTTGAACAAGCTTTCCATGTAAGTACAATACATACAACAAACTTTCCATGCAAGTATAAGATTGAAAAGTTATGGTATGAAAAAAAGAAATATATATATATATACAATTATAGAATTATCCGCAAGTTCTTGAAGAAATAAAAAAACAAGGCTTTACAAATCCAAGTCCTATACAGCGTCAAGGATGGCCAATTCTACTTAGCGGCAAAGATATGATTGGTATAGCACAGACTGGAACAGGTTTGTACTATATATTTATATTGTTTTATTGTAATTATAAGCATTTAATTATTATATAATTTTTATTTTTTAATATTTTTATTGTTGTTATTATTATTATTAGGCAAAACATTAGCATTTCTTTTGCCTGCATTAATTCACATTGATGGTCAAAGGACTCCTTTTAATGAAAGAGTTGGTCCTAATGTTCTGATTTTGGCACCAACTAGAGAATTAGCATTACAAATAGAAAAAGAAGTAGGAAAATATTCGTATCGTAATATTAAAGCGTAAGTAATTATATGTAAATAAGTTTTTTTAATTTCCATATTTAATATATATATATATATATATATATATATATACATTTGATTAACAACTGCTTAAAAATGCTGACATTATTTTAGTGTTTGTCTGTACGGTGGCGGTAATCGACAAGATCAAATAGATATAGTAACAGAAGGTGTACAAATAGTCATAGCTACACCGGGAAGATTAAATGATCTTGTATTAGCAAGAGCTATAGATGTAAGATCTGTTACATATCTTGTACTAGATGAAGCAGACCGTATGCTGGATATGGGGTTCGAACCTCAAATAAGGAAAAGTTTATTTGATGTGAGATCCGATAGACAAACTATAATGACAAGGTATTTAATATACATATTCGTATCGTACATATATATATATATATATATAAAATTATATTTTTTTAATTTTTAAAATAGTGCTACATGGCCACCAGGTGTTAGACGCCTAGCTCGATCATATATGAAAGATCCAATTCAAGTATTTGTTGGATCATTAAATTTATCAGCTGTACATACAGTAAAACAACATATTCATATAATCGACGAGGAAGATAAATTTGCTGTGGTAAGTTATTGTATAATCAATGTTTTTTCTTCTAAATTAATTATTTTATATATTGATCTCATTATACTTAATAAATAATATAATTGATTTTACGGGAGAATATTAATCTTTATATATATATATATTTTTTTTTTACATCAGTTTTATGAATTTATTCGCAATATGGATCCCGAAGACAAGATTATTGCTTTTTTTTCTAAAAAAGCAAGAGTAGACGATGTATCGAGCGACCTATCTCTCTCGTATGTTAAAAATGAAAGTATTCATGGTGGAAGAGATCAAGAAGATAGAGAACAAGCCATAGAAGATTTAAAAAATGGCTCGGTACGAATTCTTCTTGCAACAGACGTTGTTAGCCGAGGTATTGACATCGAGGATATAACGTATGTTTTATTATTTATTCTTCCACTTTTTCTAACATATTTTTCTAAGATTTCTTTTATATATATATATATATATGCGTGTGTGTGTTTATAGGCATGTCTTCAATTATGATTTTCCACGTGATATAGAAGAATATGTCCATCGAGTTGGACGTACAGGTCGCGCTGGTAAAACCGGCGAAAGTATAACGTTAATGACCAAAAATGACTGGTCACATTCCAAAGAACTTATCAGTATTTTAGAAGAGGCTAATCAAGTAAGTAATAATAGTAATATTAAAATTTATAAAATTATTATAGTTCTAAATATAGTTCTGTGCATTTAAAGTTTTTTTTTTTTTAAATCCTCCTGTATTATAAAAAGTTTAATAATGTACTAAAATCTTTATTAGATGGTGCCAGATGAGTTATATAGTATGGCCGAAAGATACGATGCCTGGAAAATGAAACGGGCGGAAGAACGAGCAAATCGTTCGAATGGGCAAGGCTACAAGTCTGGCTACAGTAGACAAAATAAGTGGGGTGGAAAATGGTAAATTTTACCATTAATCAACAGAGTCTACACATAGTTATTCTTTTCTTTTTTTTGTCATTTTAATTTTATTTCTTTTTTCCACCTTTTTTCTATCCCATGTAAAATCTTGTACAAATTAATCAGTTCTTTAAGTAATGCATTTCACTTAAATTGTAGAATTTGTGCAATGTTTTCATTTAGTTAATTACTTGTACATATCATTTAGTTAATTGCTTGTACATATCATTTAGTTAATTGTTTGTACATATCAACACATGGATTGGGGGGTGGGGGGAAAGAGAAAATAATCTATTTAAACTAACTATATTTTTATACATATAGTTGTAATTTTTTTATATAAACGTATTTTCTAAAAATAAATGTAATTTAATTTTTCTATATATCCTATATAAAACAAATCCTTTGACAAAGTAAAAATTTACCAATATAAACCCTACGTATATTATTAGTTGTATGTGATGTATTGCATATATTGAATTATGGTATAAATAAACTTGTTGTCAAAGTTAATTATTATAAAGATTTAAATATTATTAATAACTTGATAAACCTCTTTTAAAATACTGATAAGTTTATTTGAGAGTAACGGTACACATTTTTAGAAAAATCAAGTATCATTTACTATAATATACTACTCAATTTGATCGATGGAAAATAAATAAACGAATCTAATCATCGATACAATTTGGAAATTTTCATGTTTTATATACTCGTCCAGAAAGAGATAAAAGTAAAAACAAAATTAACTATAAACTTTAAAACTTTTCGTCTTAGTATATTTCTCGGCAAATATCTTTCCACTTGGAGTTGGAACAGAGAATGCAATATCTTCTAAGGACATTATGTATCCATAGAAAAATTTGGATCTGAAATATTGAACAATGATTTTATAAATACCAATTCTAATTCTACAAATGAAAGATATTGATTCATCTTCTTTCTAATATTTTTGAAGAGTAGAGTTTAAGAATGCATGGATTTTAGATAATAATGATAAACTCTGTAACTTTCACTTTCTAAATAATATTAAACAATAAGTTCTTTGTAAGGAATATCCCAAATTTTGCTGTGATAGTATTGAAACTTAGAAATAAATTATAAATAATATATATATATATATATATATGGAATAACATCTATATACCTGAGAATATCTACAAGTTTAGTGGCTATGCCTTGTCTGCGATGACTCATTACTGTCCATACAACATTTATACCACACTTAGCTGGTGTACTTTCAGCAGTACAACAATTCAAATCAATTAAGTCTGGTATCATCCTATGTGCTATTTCTATGTATTCTGCTACGAGTACGCCTAATATATTCTTTTCTTTAATGTATAAATATACCTAAAGAAAATGTAGATTTATTTATCTATATCCTGATTCATTCTCAAAGAAACAAATAACAATATTTATTTACCTTTTTATCAGTATAGTTTGAAAGAGATGAGTCAGCTAGTCCTAAATCTCTATCTACAACAGTTAAAATTTCTGATACCTTTTTCCAACATTGTTTAGAATCATTTGGTTCAATTAAAATTATTTTACTTGATGTTAAAGGATCATCTATAACGACTCTTTCATTTTTCCAACCCTATTACATATAATATGAATGTAAATGATATATGTTATATAAAAAAAAAAAATTAAAACACATTTTTATTATATTATTTCGACTGTTCAATTACTTACTTGGAATTTTAAAGTTTTCACGCTATTATGATAATTCAAATGAGCATTTTCATCCTCAGGATCACCCAATTGATAAACAATACCACATTCTGAACATTGCGTCGCACCAAAATTCTTTTGACCTGCATCTAATTGATATTGATTTTCATTGCCACTACCTTTTGCTGATAATTGCCATTTTGTTGATTTTTTTGTTCCATGTGTAAGCTTTGTAACGTCACTTTCTCTATAAACATTATAAATTTTAATTGTAAAAATCCTAAGAGGATATATAATTATGTAAATTCACATTATACATACGCATTCTTCATAGAATATCCTTTATTAAATATAGGATAATATTTTTCTTTATTTTCTTTTTCAACTTCTGTCATGTCATCAAGATTTTGTATAGTAGAAGAAGAATTTTTATTATTTGTAATAGATGGTGTATCTTTAATATTCATTGATATCATTTTGCTAAGTTCATTTGATGAAGGTATTTCTAAATTGCTCGGTGTAATAATAGATTTTAATGGAGAAACATTATTTTTCATGTTATTAGTAATTAATGTCTCCATTGTATCATATTCGTCATCTGCCCAATCATCCTCCAATACCTTTAAAATATCATCTATTTTGCTTTTCTTTATTATAACTTCAAACTCTGGTTTATCTACATTCAAATCGGTAGCATCGTCAAAAAATAAATCCATAGGTTTTGATGATTTACATGAACTTTTATGTAAGCAATTTTTTGATTCGTTACGTCCAATCTGACCATTCAATTCCTTCAATTTAACATTTGGATTTACTATTGCATTAGGTAAATTAGGTTGTTGAATTATTGAATTAGAAACATTTGTTTTCAAAAGTCGTTTATTGGAATCAACTTGCAGAATTGTTTTTTCAATAATCATATCCTTATTGGTATTTATTTGATCTATCTCTTTTACATTAGAAAATTCAAGATCATTCTGTTTACTATTCTGTTTACTATTTATAGATTTAACAACGTCCTTAGATATTTCTTTACGTGATTCTTTATTAACTTTTAGCTTAGGTGGTTTTGGTTTTTTAATTGCATGAAACACACCAGCATTGATTTCACACCATTTACGTCTCTTGTACAAATATTTATGATTCATATTGTATGCCACTAAATTTTGTATTCTTTTTAAATATTTAATATCTTATTGTTCATTAATATACCTTGTTTTTCATCCAATATCTAATATCAAATATGTCAATGAAATAATAATAAAATTTAAAAGGACTAACCTTGGATACAAATTCTTTTATACGCGTGAACTAAATAAAAATTTGTTTGGACATTAAATATATTGTAAAACATACATAATAACAACTATTTTATAATAACCTATAGATTAATAAATGCAAAAATTAATAAAAGAAATCTGTATTTCAATGGACACTCTGTTTTTTTTTCTTTGTACTTTTCTCTGCACGTGATTTCGCGCTTTTTCCTTAAGAATCCTAAGGAATATTCTGATTGGTCATTATTGTCATAACGTTGAAAAGAAGTTCATAGAATAGATAGTTTCTATGATATACTTTTCTACTTTGAATTTAGGTACATATACTTGTGTGCTAATCTAATCATTCTTTATTCGATGTCTGTCAGTTTCAGGAAGTTTTTATAGTATTATATCTTATATATTTTAGGTTAGGTTGTTTTGTCAAATAGTGTGAAATACAGTTTTAAATTTAATTAATAGAAAATCTTTTAATGAGAATAAATTGAATTAAAAACGAAAACGATAATAAACATCATACTCGAAGAAAAATAATAAATGTAAATTAATTTTATTAAATTGAAATGAAATGTATTTGAATGAAATAAAAATGATGACTGCTGATGTAAACATAATATATGTATAATTATATTAAAATAGATAAACATATAAAGAAATAAACGAAACTGGTAACGAAAACCAGTAAAAGAATCGAATCATTCAATTACTATGGATGATTTAGCGCGAAAACTAATTTCTGGAACATACGAAGAATTTTCTAAAGATACTCTTCAAGTATTTATCAAAAATGTAAGTTTGTTTGACACATTATATATATATGACGACTTTTTAATTTATTATATTTTTTTAAATAGTAAACATACAATTTTGTAAGATTATTTTATTATTTTTGCTAAGGACGCAAAGGTTAAGAAATAAAAGGTACTTTTGTTTAATAAGTTTCACTTTGTTTGATTGTTTGTATGTGTTTTATATTTATATTTTTGAGTAATTCATATATACATAATAGAGCTAATATATTTGCAGTAAAAAGATATGTATTTTTTGCACAAATTTTCTTTTAAATTCTTCATATATAATATAATTTATTTTTATATATGATTTATTTTATCTATAGTATGAGGACAAAACCAAAATTGAAAGAATATGCAATAGTCAATTAAGAGAACAAATCTGGGAGAAATTATATCAATATCTATCTAAATCTGAGTACGCATCTATGCATCTTAATTGTTTAGCTGCATTACGTATACTTAGGTAGGTAATTCTTAATAATTATATTAATATAATTTCCATATGAATAAACTTTATTCATTATGATTATTATAATTAGAAATAGACCAAAAAAAAAATATGATTTACATTTTTTTTTATTTTTTTACCATATATAGCCGAGACAAAACTGATTTAGATAAAATTGTTACTGCAGAGATGGTAACGTTATTATTACGATTAGCAGAACTTGATTGTAAGAAAAATGAACAACAGATCCCATCTACGAATGGTAATTATTATATCTGTGATATACAATAAAGATTTATATTAATTTATTTATTTATTATTTTTTCAGTTTCTGTAGAATCTGCGAAAGTACTATGTAACTTATTATATCATAGTTTTAAAGTGCGAGAATTAGTAAGAGAAAAAAATTGTTTAGAAAATCTGATTAATCGCATTAATAAATATACTGCCAATTCGTCCTATGAAATGAAATTGTTTGACATTAAAATGTTATTTATAATTACTGCGTTAAATACAACTACAAGAAATACTGTGAAAGAATTAAATGGAGATTCATATTTACTTAATATATTAGATGAATTATTGGAACAACATAAATCTAATGTATCTATGTCATTTTCTATCAAGGTATAAGTCTACGTTATGTGTGTTACATATGTGTTATATATTATTTATAATAAATATTTATATTTTCATTTTAGAATGATGATGTAATGTTAATTTGTGATATTTTAAAAGTTTTATTTAACTTATATATACATTCTGAGGACACTGTGATAGAAGAACAAGAAAAAAATCAAAAATTAACAACATGTTTATATAAATTTTTATATAATAAAAATTGGTCGCAGTATAACGATCTCGTAAGGTAAAACTTATTAGACATTAAAAAAATATTGCTTTTATAGAAAAGATTTTTTTTAAATCATTCACTATATTATTTTTATTATATTATTTTTAGCAATGTTATAAATTTATTAACTACTGTACCACTGAACAATTATATACAAATGATGCAGTCCAACGAAAACAATGAAAACAATACTATATATCAGAATACTGATGTTACAACGGTATCTATTATATTGGAATTTTTAGATCAGAGATTAAATTATACAGAAAATCTATTAGAAAATATCTCTCCAGTCGTCACTGTTCTTATTAGGCTCATAAAAGCAGACACATCTATTCGAAAATATATAAGATTACAGGTAATATTATAATATTAAATTGAAACTGTTCTATGAGATGATATAAGGATTAATTTTTTCTATTAATAAAATAATAATTATACACATTCATTAGGTTTTACCGCCATTGAAAGATGTAATGAAACGTCCAGAAGAGGGTACAACTTTAAAAGCAAAATTATGTAAACTTTTAACTTCTCCAATTACCAAGTTGCGAGATATCGTTGCTGAATTTCTCTTTATACTTTGCAAGGAAAATGGTATATGTTTATTTAATGATTTATTAAATGAAATTAGATCATATACTTTAAATATTTTTTTTTTTTTTCAATTATCTATTTATATGTTATTTGATGAAATATAATATTAATAAAATATTAATTGTTCAGTTAGCCGTATGGTAAAGTACACTGGATATGGGAATGCAGCAGGGATGTTCGCAAATAAGGGATTATTAGGTCGTAATCAAGAAAAGATATCATATTCTGAATCAGAAGATAGCGATACCGAAGAATATTTAAAATACAAAGAGCAGTATGTATTATGAATTATTTGATATATCAATTTTATTATATTTTTTTTAACGTAATAATATTATTATAATTTCAAGGATAAATCCAGTAACTGGTTGTTATGAAAAGATCAAACCAAATCTTTTAGAAGGTATGACTGAAGAACAAAAGGAATATGAAGCATTACAACTTGTAAATCTTGTAGATCAATTAACGAGGTTTGCCTTTTCTTTTTTGCTTTCTTTTTTAATAGATCAAACTAAAAATAAATCATAGTGATAATCTGATATATTATTTATTAATAATATTTGATTCATTTATTTTCATTAGAGGAGGCGTAGTACGACCTTGTAGAATTGGAGACGACGGTAAACCAAAACCAATAGAACATGTTTTAGAACTACAAGATGAATTACAAAAACAACAATACAGGCGGGAGTCAGATTCTGATTAATTATTTATAACTTGTGGAGATTAAGTGTAATTATTATAAATTATGTATATTACTTATGTAATACGTAGGAATTTAATAAATGTTTAAAACAAATCTTAATTCAGCTTAATAAACACGAGCACGAAGTTAATACTTATTTTTAATATTTTCTATATGAAATTTTAAGAAATATCTAATTGATCAATTACATCTGCAAAGTTATAATGAAAATATCAGTTTGGTCAGTTTACTTACTTTATTGAAAAAGAACAAAGAACAACGTTACAAATTAAACAATTGGCAGGAAATAAAAGATATAACATTTTCCAAAATCACATGAAATATTTAAACATTACAATTTTGGTAAATTGTGTTATGTGCTTTGTGAGCATCACAATATATTATTATTGCATTGCAGCCTATGCGCAGATAAGAATGTATGTTTCTCTACATGTTTTTTTTTATTTTTTTTTTTTTAAAGAACTGCATAGTAATATCGTTTGAGAATATCTTAATATAGGATAGCACGTATAAATTGACAGGTAATGGCAAATTGAGCTGATATGATGAGAAACAATGTATGATTAACAGAGAACATTTACATATTTTAAGTCTAATTTTGTCCATCCTATAGTAAAATATTTCCAATCTAATAATACATTTGACAAATATATAAGTAGCAAATATTTCATATCTTTAATTATGTAGATTAAAATATTTTTTTTTTGTTTGTAAAAGTGTATATAGATGTGTATACGTATAATACCATAAATTTGTTTATATTTCATATAAAAAAGAAACTAAAATTTCCTAGGTACAAGGTAGAAAAAAGCCGATAGCCATTAAACAAAAATTAGAGACTTCAATTATCGATATTCGTAGACTAGCGTTGACAAACTTTGGAGGAAATAAAGGGGGGTCGGTACGTACAATAATAATAATAATAATAATAATAATAATAATAAAAATAATAATAATAATAATAATAATAATAATAATAATAATAATAATAATAATAATAATAATAATAATAATAACAATAACAATAAGAATAAGAATAAGAATAATAGTAATAAGAATAAGAATAAGAATAGTAATATTAATAATAATAGTAATAATATAATAATGATAATGTTCATGATAATGTGATAATGATAATGACAAACGATTAATGACTATGAAAAATCATTAAATCGATAGAGAAGCGCAGCGAAATACATTCGGGGGAAAAAGCAAGTTTGTAGTAATGAGTGTATAAAGGCTGAGTAGTTATCTCAGGCAACCGATATTTCATATATAGTCAGAGACATTATGTGTCTAAATAATACATTAGATTATAATAACGTGACCCATGTTCCTTGGCGTCTCATTAGCATATAAAAAATATATTGATATACACGCTCTCTCTCCATATTGCTTTACAATTTACCTTTTTTTTCTCAAGTTGTACTATTCTTATACAGCTTAACATTTTGAAGTACAAGATGATGTTTGGAACATTTAAAAACACTTCGCCTCATGAAATATTTCATCCTAGTAAAACACCAATGGAGGTTTCAGGAAAACATGGTTTACGCACAGTGAATCTGTCGGAGTGTGTATTATTATTATTATTATTACAATTCTCTCAAAAGTTTTCTGTTATTATTATGTTTTTTTTTTGTTTTTTTTTTCTTTCCCCAGTAAATACACGGACCATGTGTGGTATCTGTATGTATATCGAATTATTAAAAATAAACGTTTTGCTCGCTGTTGTGCAGCATCCCATCATTTACATAAATGTAATATTGTATATCATATAGAACATTTTTTTTCAATTATACCTTCTGCCTGCT